ATGTGATGTAATTCAACCTGGACCATTTCCATCTTTTCGTTTTTACCTATTTTACATGACTTGATCTTTTCGTGGTGAATATAAGTTGATTGGCATGGATGATGGTTTTGTAAGCTACCCACTCTATATAAATATTCATATACACATTTCAACATTTGTCTGTTAAATATGGATATACATAATAGCATAATGCTACGTCCTTATTTCAAGAAATTGCTAAAAGAAAACATGTACAATAGTCACAAAAACTCGCACCAAGTGTATGATTTTCAAAAAAAGAATATTTAATAATCCTACAGAGAATAAAATAATAAAAGCTCCCTATATTAAAAATGAAAGAGTTCAATTCTATTTTACAAGGAAAAAAATGTTAGTCCTATTTGAAAAATAGGTTGTGTTTTAGGCTGGTTTTCCTTTGGGATTTTTTTTGTTTTTTTATATCAAAAAGGTGATTTTGGTGTCTTTATTTGAATGTCTTTGTTGGGATCGTATCCATCTCCTGATAGGGGTGGACTCGGGCCGGTTCGGGCCCGGTTCGGGCCTGGGCCCGGCCGGGCCTCGGGCCAGAAAACTAGGGCCCGGGCCCGAACTGCCGGTGGGCGGTTCCGGTTCCGGTTCCGGGCCAAACCGGGCCGGGCCGGGCCAACCGGTCTATTTTTTTTTTTTTTTTTTTGGTTCTCCTTTTTAACCCCCTACCCCTCCCCCTCACCCCCAAACCACCCCAAACCACCTCAAATGGCCCAAAATACCTAATCCAACCCAAAACTTAAAAAAATTTCAAAAAAAAAAAAAAAAAAAATTAAAATCCGGCCCGAACCGGGCCCGAACCGGCCAGGCCGGTTCACCAAAATCAGGGCCCGAGCCCGGACCGCCATCCCACCGGGCCGGGTGGCCCGAACCGGTGCACGAACCGGTTGACCGGGCCGGTCCGGGCCCGCACAGTAGCGGGCCGGTCCGGTTCCGGGCCGGTTGGCCCGGCCCGAGTCCACCCCTATCTCCTGATCTCCGGCTAAGGTCTCCAACCTTCTATACTAAACTCACACACACCACTCTAGGGCTAGGTCAACTCCATCTGACCATCTCCCATGTTTAGTCACTCTTCTTCACTCCACTAAGAAACTCTCACTGTCTCACACAAGGGGAAAGGAAGGAAGACACTGCACAAGGAAGTTCTCTCGCAGGCTTATTTCACAAAGAGGAGGAGTGTTGACTATGTAATAGGCTTCTAGCCTATTGATAAGTCATAGGCAGAAATAACAAGGACACTCACGGGTGTGAAGGACACTCACGGGTGTGAAGGACACTCACGGGTATAAGTCAAGACAAACAAAGGGTGCAGCGGACAACAAGCAATGGGGCTGATTCCAGGTAAGTCAACAGGACACCATTGAGTGATTTCAACTCAGGGAATCAAGGTGGGAGTAAACATGGGGCACAAGCCTAAATAATAAAATGGAAGGGAGGCCTTGGTAGGACCAATACCTCCAACATTCTCCACCTTATTAGTCCTTAGTGGTGTAGAGTAGCAAAACAGGTTGTGAGGAGACTCATCATCGCCGGGTCACCCGGAATATCAACCGTTAAAACGGGCAAACACTTTATTAGGCAACCCACAGTTATCCACAGTGAAAGTTTAATACGCGTTTACAGGACAAGTGCTTCTCAGCAGAAAGACACTTGGTACCCATATCCGCGGGGTTAAACTCGGACTGGATCTTGCACAGCTTGACTCCACCTGCATCAACAATATCACGTATGAAATGGAACCTAACATCAATATGTTTAGTTCTATCATGAAATACAGGTTTTTTGCAAAGTTGGATAGCCGATTGGCTATCCGAGAAAATGGTAACTCCCTGTTTGAGAAACCCAATTTTGGAGACAAGGCATTTGAGCCAGATGGCTTCCTTAAACGCTTCTTTGGCTGCAACATACTCAGACTCAGTGGTAGAAAGGGCCACAAATGGCTGCAGTTAAGACTTCCAACTAATGCAAGAGCCACACAAAGTAAAAACATAAGAAGTGGCCGACTTCCTGTCATCTCTATCATTTGCATAGTTAGAATCAACATAACCAATCAATTCAATACTACTAGCACATTTAGAGAAAATTAATCCATGCTTCACAGTAGATATCAGATATCTAAGCAATCACTTGAGAGCATTCCAATGGGGCAAACCGGGGTTGGACATTTACTCAAGCAACTAACCGCATATGCAATATCAGGTCTAGTGCTAAAGATAAGATACATAACCGACCCTATTGCGCTGGAATAGGGCACATATTTCATTTTCTCAATTTCAGGAGCAGTCTTGGGAGATTGGTCCTTACTTAACACAAAGTGAGATGCCATAGGAACATTAATAGGAAAAGCAAATAACATATTGAATTTACTCAAAACTTTTTCTATGTAAGAAATCTGATTCAAAGTAAGAGTACGTTTACTCATATCCCTAACAATGTTTATGCCTAGGATCCTCTTGGCATCACCTAGGTCTTTCATGGCAAAATTCGCACAAAGGCATTTTTGCACATCTTTAATAGCATTCAGAGAAGGACTAATTACCAGCATGTCATCCCCACAGAGTAACAAAAATACAGGCACAAAAGAAGTATTTTTGAAATACAGGCAATGATCACAAACAGATTTTTGGAACTTTAAAGATATCATGCATTTATCAAATTTAATGTCCCATTTCCTAGGGGATTGCTTCAGGCCATACAATGTCTTCCTAAGCAAACAGACATACTCACTTCTCTTGGGATCCACAAAGCCCTCAGGCTGGGTCATATAAATTGTTTTGTCCAATTCACCATGCAATAATGCAGTAGTTACATCCATTTGCTTCATTTCCCAGTCATGGTGAGCAACTAAAGCAAGCATCATACGAATAGTGGTGAATTTAACAACATGAGCAAAGATTTCTGCATAATCTACCCCCTCTTTTTGAGTAAACCCTTTCGCAACCAACATAACCTTAAACCTAACATCACTAGGTTCTTCCTTAACCTTATAAACAACCACTTACACTCAACTAGCGAACAGTTGGGGGGTCTAGGTACAAGGGTCCAAATCTGGTTCCTATCTCACTTTTCATGGCACAAATCCATTTCTGAGACTCTTTAGAACCTAAGGCTTCACGGTAGGTCTTGGGTTCATTCAGCTCTAGGGATTCAAACACAGAAAATGCAAGCATAGAAGTATCATGCACAATGAAAGCATAATCAGGCATATTATCAGCAATTCTCCTGATGGTCCTTCTACTTCTATCTCTAGCAAGTTGATAATCATGCAAATCATCACTACTAGGCTCCACCTGCAACTCATGCAAATTACTGTTATCATGAAAATCAGATTTAGCACTCATATCATGCAAATCATGCTCATTATCATGTAAATGCTCCACCTCACTAGAGGTGGTGGGACTATCATGCTCAGAGGAATCAGAATTATGCATAACACTTTCATCAGTAATAATAGGATCAACAGATAAAGGACTAGCAGTAACAGGAATAGACTCCACCTCACTAGGAGTACTATCAGACCTAGACTCAAGATTAGAAACAGACTTGGTCATGCAAGGAAAATCAGTTTCATTAAACACTACATTTCTGCTAAGGACCTCCTTAAAGCCTACCTGGTTCCTATCCCATAACCTGTAACTATTGTTCTAAAAATCGGCCTAGGCGGGCCGATTAATTGGCCTAGGCGGCCTTAACCGTAGAGGCCGAATCGGCCTAGTCGGCCAAAAAATCGGCCTAGTCGGCCGCCTAGGCGCTAGGCGCCCCTCAACCGCCTGACTAGTGCCTAGCGAGTTTTAGAATAATGCCTGTAACCCTTTACCCCCTCTGGATAACCTAGGAAGACACATTTCTTAAACCAAGGATCCAACTTGTCAACATGTTGATGTGCATATGCTGCACAATCAAACACCCGAAGGTTAGACAGATCAAGAGGCTTACCGATATAGACGGCTTCAGGACACTTACCACCAAGAGGGACAGACGGGGACTTATTAACCAAATAGGCAACAGTAGTAACTGCTTCGCCCCAGAATTTCTTAGGCAAACTAGAGGTAGCTAACATGCTTCTAACCTTATCTAACAGAGACCTATTCATTCTTTAAGCTATCCCATTCTGTTGGGGAGTATAAGACCAGTTTTGTTCCTTTTTATCCCACAATCGACACACAGCTTATCCATCTCCTTATTACAGAACTCTAACTCGTTATCAGTCCTAAGGGTTTTAACCTTCCTGCCAGTTTGGTTTTCAACTAGTTACTCGATCGTGGAATAACTATTAATGTGAGTAGTTGAGGGGAAAATTCACGAGTAATATTGTTGGGATATATCAAAGAAAGTTATTTAAAAATGTGTTGTCAAAATTATAGGCACTTCTTCATCATGAATAAAGTATTTGAAATTCATCCGGTTGAATTATTCTTAATGACATTTCTTTCATGTGCAGCAAATAAGAAATACCAAGAAAAAAGGAATTTCAACATTTTATGACCTAAAAGATAGGTAAAGCATCAATAGGCGACCTAAAATATAGAATGTATCAGTATAGGAGCTAAATAATTGAAATCTATCAATCTAAGACCTAAAATAACATAGATTTTGATTTATTTAAATATTTTAATATTTTATTTACTCTGTTACTAATTTGTAATGATTCTATCTTCACAATTTTTTTTTACAATAAAGAGTCTATTAGTTTTATAAGATTGAATGATATTTAATTTTCTAAAATAGAAGTATTGAAATTCATGATATTTTATATCTTACATAGTACTTGTGAGTATTTTCCCTTAACTACTCTCAATAATATTTATTCCACAATGGAGTAGCTAAGTAGAAAAATAATGATTAACAATAATAAATATAAATATGATTATAATTTGTGTTTTAATCTAAAATTTAATTTTATAAACAATTTTCATTGAATATAAGAGTTATATCAAATTTGATTTAACAAATATTAATGTGAGGGGCAAAGAATGAGAATGATCCAAACTTAGAGGGTAATCAATATATTTTTGAAAATGCAAGGTTGCCTTCATGATGACATAACCTCAGGGGCTAAGAGTAATTATCCCAAGTACATATGTTGTTTCATTATTTTCCTATTTTTTTTCGAAAACAATATCAATAACTTACACTCATGATTGCACTAGTAATAATACACTATAGTGGAGGAGCCCTCTCCAAAAAAAAAATACTAGGTGTGCTTCTAAGAATGGTGCCATAGCACAAAGTGGAAAAGACATAAGGTTTATCATTGGCCTATCATAAATTATGAATCAGAATACAAGTATATACTAGTATATATGATATATCTTTCAATTGCTGGCTTCTCTTGTTTCTCTGCTTTCATTGTGGGAGGATGAATCTTTCTTCATTGGGTAGCTGCCGTATATATAAGAGCCAAATCCCCAAAATGTAATTATCAAAGAAATGATCTTGAAACCACTCATAGGGTCACTCAGCAACACAACCGCAGCAATGTTTGTGATCGGCACTCTTATAGCATTCAGGACACCCGCGAGCACGGTGGACGCGATAAACACAACCGCCGTGCTTCCAAGAATACCGAATTGGAAGGTTAAAATGGACCAAACGATCACTTGATAGTACGAAGACTTCCCGCCCACAAAAGTCGCCGCCTCGGATTTCATACCCCGGAAACCGCCTGTCACGACCATCCCGATCGTCGTGAAGAGGAACCCAAAGAGCGAAACCATTAACTGTTGTTCCAACACGACATGGAAAGATCTCCTGCCGAGCAGTCTAACAAAGATCAGCTCCGACAGAGCGAATATCAGCCCGTGAAGGGCAGAGCCCACAATATCCCACACAAACCCCATTGCGTATTCATGGCTAGTAATGTACCCGTATCTGTCGGAGTTAGAATCCAGTGCAACAATGACCATGGCAGCAGTGATGATCACGATCGAGTTAATAATAGACGCATTCATCTTGTTTTTCACTAAAAGGAACCCGAAAAGTGCAGAAAAAACCAGCGATGTGGATGCAATAAGAGCAGCAGTTGAAGCTGGGAGGTATGCATAGGCATAAGCATACATGAGATTATCAGCAGCACTTAAAAATCCCAACACAACATAAGAGATGATCAACTTGAGGTCCAATGGAGTGGGATGTATTCTCAGAAAAAAGTACATGGGGACCAAGATGAGGGCGGTGAGGGGCCAACCCGCAACCGCAACCCATGAAATAATCCATTTGCTCTTCCCGCCATTGGCAAAATAAAGGCGGGACAAGAGGCTGGAAGCGGGAAATGCAACTAGCATAGATGCTGAACTAAGGAGTAGCAGAATCCATATTGAGATTGGCTTGCTTCTATAAGCCTCCCATACCATTGTTTTATAGGCATCGATCTTTTCACGTAATTTTTGAGGTTGTGGATCTTCCATTGCCTCCTCTAGTAAGAAGAATTCATCAAGGAACTACCCATCAGACAAAAATGAAACGGAGTAATTTTTTATTTGAAGGAAAAATTACCAAACAGTTTGTTTATCCGAACAGAAATTTGCTAGTGTAATCTGAATTAGCGTCGCCTGAACTGGGGTTTGGTCTGGGCTAGTCTGATCAAGTCCGGTATGATTTCAACTCGTTTGATACGATTTGATATTATGTCTGTTTTGTTGTTATTTGTTAAAGCATTTGTCCCACACCGGAAAGCTATAAAACAATTAAACACTATATAAGGCTTTGGGCTACTCCTCGTATCAGGTTGACCTTTTAGGATGGGACCCCGAGTCTTAACATGGTATCAGAGCCAATTTCGTTGTGGTTTGACGGCTTGTTTAGCACCCATGATTAAGGGTAGCTTGTTAAGGGTTTGTTTGGCCCGTTTATACACCCTGATATTGTCCAACCCGGTTCGGGCTGAGGAGGCGTGTTAAAGCATTTGTCCCACACCGGAAAACTATAAAACAATTAAATACCGGGAAAAGTGTCAAATAGGCCCCTCTACTAATACGAAAAAGTCAATTAAGCCCCCGAACTCAAAAAACATCCAATTAAGCCCACGAACTAAATATAACGAGGCAAAACAGTCCTTTTAGCAGGATATTAACCGTTCCCAGTTAAGTTGCATGTGTGGCAAGTGATGTGGCATGCTTTTACATTTTCTTTTTATCTTTTTCTCTTTCTTTCCTTTTTTCCTTATCTCTTTTTAGCCGCTTAATTACCTGCTAAAAGGACTGTTTTGCCTCGTTTTTTATAGTTTGTGGGCTTAATTGAGTGTTTTTTGAGTTCAGGGACTTAATTGACTTTTTTGTATTAGTAGGGGGGCCTATTTGACAGTTTTTCTCTTAAATACCATATAAGGCTTTGGGCTACTCTTCCTATCAGGTTGACCTTTTAGGATGGAATCTCGGGTCTTAACATTATTTAAGTCTTATCCTATCCAGTCTATTTAAGTCTTCTTTGTCTTCTTTGACTAATTGTTTAAAACTTTAAAACTTTAAATAAGGTATATTCTGATCTTAGTAGAGTTTGAAATAAGTTCAAGTGAACAATTCCAAACAGTCCAATGACAATGGCCATAAGTTATTAGGGAGTAATTGTTAACATACAGTTGACCATTGCTACTTGTGTTAGTAACAAATCCTAAAATTAGTGTCGTGTTTCTCTAAATTAGTATCGGGAATTGATTGTGTCAGTAAAAAAATTACCCTAAAATTAAAAATTACTTGTCCTGTATCTAATTAGTGTCTCAAATTGACTTGGCACACATTTTAAACATGCACAGGGCGGAAAAGGTAGTGTGCACTGTGCAGCAGATATGGACAGAGCGAGTATGAGTTTTGCCTAATCCTTATTCAGTTAGCAATATTTAGACAAAAATACGAACAAAAACAAACTCAATTTCTTACAAACTAACCAAAAAAGTGATTTCCTCAGCAGAATGAGAAAGTTTTTGGAAATAAAAACATCTGCACCATTTCTTTTTTGACTATTTGCTAATAAAACATTAGCTTATATTAATAATAGGGATAAGGGTCAGATAGGGCCTCGAACTCGAAAAAAAATGTCAAATAAGGTCATATTTAGGATGCTCTGTCCGGCCGACGCCATTTGGGGTGGTTCCCGATGGAATTTTTTGATGAAATTTTTTGAGCATCTTCCTCATTAAGTCTAGTTTACTCATACCAAATTTCACCTAAAAATGCAACCGGGAAGGTAGTCAAATGATTTTCCGAAATGTACGGGGTTGTTTAACTTCGCAATTATCTTCAAAAAATTATTTGACTACCTTCCCGGTGGAATTTTTAGCTGAAATTTGGTATGGGTAAACTAGACTTAATGAGGAAGATGCTCAAAAAAATTCATCAAAAAATGGCATCTGGAACCGCCCCAAATGGCGTCGGCCGGACAGAGCATCCTAAATATGACCTTATTTGACATTTTTTTTCGAGTTCGAGGCCCTATCTGACCCTTATCCCTTAATAATATTCTAAAAATGTAATATGAAAATTTGAACTGACCAAATTTGCAGGACAGTTTAAACTTCAATGTAGTTTGGCATGACATTAAAAGCATCTAACAAAATGTCACTTTTGCAAAGTAGTTTGTCATGACATAATTCCAATTTCATCCTCTTACATTTTTTAACTATGGTCCCTCTTGTACCTCTTTTTATATATTCTCTAAAGTTAATGAATGAATATAGGATAATGCATTAAAGAATGACATGCTGATTCTCTAAAGTACATACGATAGTATGCTGCAAAATGTTCATTGATCCATTGTCATACTAAATTTTTGCCAACTTTCTGTATTTTCTTAAATCTAAGACTTGGTTTTTTCTTTAGAATAATTAATATCTGCTTAATGTTATCTCTTTTTCATACCTACCAGCATCAATTACACTCTATTTACTCTCTCATAATACATTTCACTCAAAAATGACCAAGTTTGAAGAGGCAAAAAGCTAGTATATCCCAGTAAAAATTCAACATTCTAGTTTTTGGGAGATTAGTACATAATACACGTTCAATTCCTAAAATAGCAATTACTTTGGGACAAATTAATTAACTAAAAAGATACTTAATGGCTTTATCCATATATTTTAGCTACTATGGGCATGAGCATGAGCATGAGCATGAGCAGATCGATGTTCCTTATCAGTACAAGTTACAAGGAATGGGTCCAACAAGTAAAAAATACACAATTTATAATTTAGGAAAGCTAAGCGGCAGATCTATGATGGGTCCCAGCCTAAGATAAATTAATTTTTTCTTAAGTTTTTTTAGCTTAGATTCTTTCATTTTTTATTAATTTTCTCTTATTTGTTTTTTTACCAAAGATTCTTTCATTTTTTATGTAGCCCGCAGAGCTCGCTTTTATTTCAAGGGGTGTTTGAATCTCATTATTAAAACCACTTCTGCTACTTCTTCAGGAAGGAGAAATTGAAATGTTTGGGTAAAAGTGCAGAAGTACTTCTGGTGCTCTAATTTACTCCTAGAATCAGATTTTTTAGAAGTTGGGAGAGATCAGCTTCTGAAAACTGATTCTAATTCTGCTTCTGTTTTAAAAAAAAGAAGCAGAATCACTCCAAACACCTCCTAAGAGGGTGTCTGGATCTGATTCTTAAAACTGCTTCTGCTCCCTGAAGTTGGAATTTTGGGTGAAAGTGCATAAGTGATTTTGGTGCTCTAATTTACCCTGAGAATCAGTTTTTATAGAAGCGGGGGGTGACCAGCTTCTGAAAACTGATTCTAAGGATGTTTTTACTTGGACTGTAACTTGCTGGTTTAGTCTGGTCTGGTCTGATCTGGTCTGGTCTGGTCTGGTCTGGTAAGGTCTGGTTTCTTTGTATTTTTATAACTATCCAAGTCTGGTCTGGTCTGGACTGGTCTGGTCTGGTCTGATCTGATCTGGGCAAATTACAGTCCAAGTAAAAACATCCTAATTCTGCTTCTATTTTAAAAAAGATGCAGAAACATAAGGGAGCTTCTTCTTGTACCCACTATTGTACCCACCATGTCTTCATAGACATATTTTTGTCTATTATCGGGATTTACGGACGAAGAAAACTCCTCGCAGACATGATGAGTACAGAAGTGGGTACAATAGTGGGTACAAATAGTTTTTTGGAAACAGAATTGGTTCCAAACACTCTTACATGACTTTTAAAATAATCTCAAATATGATGACATTGCTCTACAAGACTCTTACAAAATTGTCCCCATTCTTGGATAAATCTTCTCCAAACACTCCCTTAAATTATTTGACCCGGCCACAATTGGTAATACTACGTATTCAGTTCTGGAGCGATGACGCAATACTTTTTGCAATGGTATTATTTTAAAATAATGCATAGCTGGGATTATTTAAATGAATTCGTCCCTATCAGTTTTCACTACATGATAAACTGCCCATTAATAGATGAAGAAAATATGATTTTTTACTAGAGAACTATGCAATATTCCTCTCAGATCTGAACTTCTCGTCCAACTGCCTTAATTAATTAGGAATATTTGCAATCAGAGAAATTTTCATCAACTAACTATCTGTGAACACGCATTGAAGGAAGTCGGGGACAAACCTGGAAAAAGATGAAGCAATGGCTTCTGCATATGAATCGCGAGAATGGAGGAGATATTGTTGCTGCCTGCCAATTCTGGTGGCCCGTTTTCCAAGTTGGGGTTAAATCAATGTTCAGGAGGAATATGCTCTCTAAGTCATATTTTTCGTATTCACTTAATCAATCTTTTAATCTCTTATTTTATATATTGAAATTTGATTCATGTTTTTTGCGACTTTATAAAATTTTTATTATAGTTTCTGAATATATAATTATTATTTTTAAAATTAATTTGAGTGTGGACAGGAATCTGCTTGCTTTATCGTCGGTCAAATATCATAAACCGTAAAGTATCTTACAATTCGGGACAGAGGGAGTATTTTTTAGGAAGATATAGATGGAGTATTAATCAACATTAGTGGAATGATCTTTTGTTTTGTTGCAATTTAAAGAAAAAGGTGCAATCTCTCTTGTCAATGTATGCTGTTAATAGTAGAATTACTCCTCTTGCACATGTAAAGCAATTATGGAGATATTCTTTTCTAGGGTTTGACCGCCGCTAGGGTTTCGATCGTCCAATGTCGTTCTTGCGACGAGGAGCGGTGCCGGTTAAGCGTCTTTGGTTTTGTTGCTTTGGACGCCTTCTTTATGAAGCGCCAGTCTTTGTTCAGACGAGGAAGGAGAGGAGGTCAAAGTCGGTGTTCTCTCGGGTACGGAAGCAAGGCGTCGGTGACAAGGAAGGCGAGGAGGTCTCGGTCGGTTATTCTAGGCCACTGAATCAAGGCATCGAGTCTGAGGAGAAGGCGAAGTCGGCTTTCATTACTTCAGACCTTGGGCGACTTTTTAAAACTTTTAATGTAGTTTTTGAATATGTAATTTTTATTTTCTAAAATTAATTTGTGTGAAGAGTGAGGACCGGGATCCGTTTGCTTTATCGTCAGTCAAACATTATAAACCGTAAAGCGCCTTACAATTCGGGACGGGGGAGTAGTAATCAATGGCATAGGAATAATGATTTTGTTTTGTTTCAATTTAAAGAAAAAGATGCAATCTCTCTTGTCAATGTATGTCTTTTATAGTATCATCAAAAAAATGTTTATCTTTTATAATTCCAAAAATGCTTTAACTTAGACTGTTTTTAGTCTCAGATCAGACTAGACTAGATCAGACTTGGATGATTATAAAATATACAGGGACCAGACATTTACTAGTATTATTACATGAAGTAATCAGAAAAAATTATATCAGATAAGAATTATCCAATAGAAGCCTCTATTTGAGAAGCTTTCGAGTAGAATTTTTTTATTAAATCTTGTAACCATGTTTTTCATTATGTGTATGTAGATTATATACACCAAGTTTCAGCTTGAACTACAATTGGGAAGTCAACTAGATAAATTATGGACAAACACTGCGCTTTTTAATACATTTTGGCGTAGTGTTTTTCAATAATTTATTTAACTAACTTCCCGGTTGAATTGCAAACTAAAATTTGGTGTAAATAATCTACAAATAATTAAAAAAACAAGCTTGAACACCTCAAACATAGGCAGTCGGACGACGGATCCTGTCGGGTAGTTTTGACAGGATCATTCCTCATGAAATAAGTCCATATATATGATTGAAAATATGAAAAAATGTGTTTTATTCCTTAAATAGATCTTACTAAGCCTTACTAAAATAATTTGATTAAAGTTTGCTAAAATGCACTGAATAAGTTATATTTTGAGAGAAACAACGATAATACTATATATGAACTTTATTTTTGTTTTAATCGAATTTAGTGAATTTTCTCTTGATTGGTTGAGTTTCTTCTTGGCCCCCCTACGAGCGAATCCCAAGTCCGCCCTGGAAACGCTTGCATTAAAGTGAAGACTAGTGCGTCTAATATCGTCAATGATCATAAATAAATGTCTTAAAAAAGCGTAAAAATGTTTGGGAATTACGAAATAGGACAATTTTTTTTTATTTTTTAAAATATGAGTAATTATTGTCAAGTTTTGAAAATACTACTCATATGAGAACGGAGATAGTAGTATTTTCAAAACTTGACAATAATTACTCATGTCTTAAAAAATAAAAAAAAGTTGTCCTATTTCGTAATTCCCAAACATTTTTTTACTCTTTTTTAAGACATTTATTTATGATCACTGACGATATTAGACGCACTAGTCTTCACTTTAATGCAAGTGTTTCGAGGGCGGACTCGGGATTCGCTCGTAGGGGGGCCAAGAAGAAACTCAAGCAATCAAGAGAAAATTCACTAAATTGGATTAAAACAAAAATAAAGTTCATATATAGTATTATCGTTGTTTTACTCTCAAAATATAACTTATTCAGTGCATTTTAGCAAACTTTAATCAAATTATTTTAGTAAGGCTTAGTAAGATCTATTTAAGGAATAAAACACATTTTTTCATATTTTCAATCATATATATGGACTTATTTCATGAGGAATGATCCTGTCAAAACTACCCGACAGTATTCAAGCTTGTATTTTTTATGAAGTATTTAACTCTCCCACTTTTGTTTCAAGCCTTATTTTGGCTCTCGTGGCTTCCTCGAGTTTAGACTCAAGCTCAGTGACACGTGATTTAAGATGATCATTTTCGGAAAGGCTTTGATTAAGCTCAATAGTCAATCTTTTGAAAATCTTCCGAGTTTTGGTTTTGGATAGAGAGTCAAACTTGGACAGAAAATTTTCAAAGTTTACCTCAAAGCTTTCGTGGTCGGATTCCTCGTCGGAGAGTGCCATAAGACATAAACCCGCATGATTGGAGTTCTTATCATTTTCTTCTTCTTCATCATCGGATGAGTCTCCCCATGCGGCCATCATCGCCTTCTTGAGATCTCTATTGAAGCCTTTGTCTTCACTGAACCTTCGGTTGGAACTGGAGTTGTTCTTGTCGTAGGTTTTCTCATTTTTCTTTTGTGGGCAGTCCTTAGCCCTGTGCTCAAAGGAACCACAAACAAAACAACCTTGGTTATTAAAGGATTGAGTATTCCTTTTACCTTGTTTGGTACGGTTGTTCTTGAACTTTTGGCACATCCTCCCAAATTGTTTCGCAAACATGCTCATCTCATCATCCGATTCACTTTCGGATTCTTCTTCTTCTTCTCGAGCCTTTAGAGCTATTCCTCTCTCTCGTCTAGCATTCTCGGCATCCTGTTCTTCTTGAAGACCCAGTTCATATGTTAGGAGTGATCCGGTCAAGTCTTCAAGCGTCATGGTGGATAGATCTTTTGCTTCTTCAATGGCCGTGGTCTTAGGCTTCCATACTGGGGGCAGACTTCTCAAGATCTTTCTCACTTGATCTTCCACTGTAATCTCTCTTCCAAGAGCTGAAAGCTCATTGATGATATTAGTAAAACGTGTAATTATATCCTTAATTGACTCTTTTGGCTTCATTACGAATAATTCGTAATTACGCATGAATATGTCAATCTTAGATTTTTTTACACGTGAGGTTCCCTCATGAGTGACCTCGAGCAAATCCCACATTTGTTTTGCAGTCTTGCATCTTAAAACCCGATTGTGTTCGGCAGGACCAAGACCACAAATTAAATATTTAAGAGCTTGGGCATTATGCTCAAGTTTCTCATAATCTTCAGAAGTATATTCAGCTTTAGGTTTAAGAATGACATTACCTTCGGCGTTTCTCTTTGTGATGATATTATCACCACTTTCTATTACATTCCAAACCTGATAGTTATCGGCCTTGATAAAGTTTTCCATTCGACTCTTCCAAAATTGATAGTATTTGCCATTGAACAATGGTGATCGTTGAGTTGAGTACCCTTCTTCCAATCTGTCAACCGTGTTCATTTTGCCGAATCTCTTCCCAAGGTATTAGCCTCTATGTGGTGAAGACCAGCTCTGATACCAATTGATGAAAACGGTTAGCAACACAAGAGGGGGGTGAATTGTGTGTGTGTGGAACTGTGACAGTTTTTCGCCAAGTTCTAGTGCGGGGTGAAGGGATTTGCAGAAAAGTAAAGTGCACAAATATTTAACGAGGAAAAATCCCTTGGCTCAAAAGGGATTAAAAAACCTCGACCTCTGTCGGAGGAATTTTAAACAACTTCACTAATCAAGCCTTTGAAAGATTACAAGAGAGATTCTCCTAATCTACCCTTGAGCCTCCCCAACTCTATCCTCTCTAGGAAGAGTTATGCATCTCTACCTTTTGGGTAGAGAGCCTCTCGGCTTTGTCTCAAAGCTCTCACACACACTTAACCCAACCCGAGGCAGCTACACTTAGCTATGCCTCAATATCTCAAGTACAAAAATGATAAAGAAGAAGAAACTCTATCTAGAACTCTGTGTAGGCAGTTTCAGGCGCTTGTGGACTTGATCTTTTCTTGAGTGATTCTCCTTAGTGATTTTCTCTATCAAGCACACCTTTCCTTTGGCCTTTTGTCGAATATATAGCTTGTAGGAGTAACATCAGTTGGCTCCTCTTTCCTTAGTAAGATATTAGGACTTGCCTTGATAAATTTGAATTGCTTTCCTTGCTTCATGACTTCCATATTAGAGCTAATTAACTCAGGAGCCGAATTAATACATCCAAGAATATATCAATCGAGTATTCTTTAGCAGCAAATCAATCATGCACTAAGCCACCAATGTAACGTTCAAATTGATTAATAAAGGAAGGACCAAAATATTTTATTCACTTACCATACTTGTCCAAGCAACGGATTTGTTCAACCATGTCAACATTATTTTCAAAATGATTTCCTTAAAGAAATCAAGGTAACGATGGCCTTTCAAATTATATGGAAAGTGTACGGTTACCAAGATATTAATACTTTAGCAAGAATATTTGATTAACCTTTTTTGGTAAGAAAGCCATTTATATTTTTAGTATGCTCGAATGAGCCTTGGTCATCTTTATTTTAAATGTATCATTGATGTTAAAAGTACTTTCCAAAAGTCACTCAAGTAATCTTGTATGAAAAAAGATATCACACGAAGGACATAATCATGCAGCCATCAACTTAGAACATACATATAGTAATTAAAGCACAAGTGTCCTGCATGGTTAGAATTAGGATAGTTCTTCTCTTGGTTCCAGTCAGGTTAGTCATCAACAAAACTAATTAATCAACATGTATTTCAATATTATTAATTCCGTCCCCGTTTCCTGTTATGTTTTGGGAATGATGAACATTGTATAATTTAGTGATATCTTTTAGAAAGTATATTCTTCGAATTCATAAGAACTATTACTCTAAAAAGAAACGGCCATACGTATAGTAAATAAAATTTAGCAGATTAAAACCCGTTCTGTGTAATTTATTAGTGATAGAAATTTTCATAAATCTACGTGGTTAATATGTTATCTACGTAGGTACTAGAGTATCTGAACATAATATACATGCATAAACTAGAAAGACATGTTTACGTAAATATATACATGCATAAACTAAAGCCGTAACTAATACGGAGTACATATTACTATACGTATGTATTAGCTGAAATTATAATAATAATTAGATGTGGTATGCTATTATGATTTACTTTAGTAAACTAAAATAAGGTACACATGAATTAGTTGGACCGACATGAATAAATAAAACAAAGGTACAAACTTCTAACAAACCCACACCAGCAATGATATACGAACAGGCCGGTTTGTAGTTCTACTCTGTATCTTTTACTTGTTATATTTAAAGTAGTTTAAGTGTGTAAAATGAATTATTTAATATGGAATATTCACTTAAGTATTATATATGATCACTTTTAAACTTGTGAATATAACATTCGTACAAGCAACATAAAGTATATATTTTCTAAATAATTTTAGAGAAGTATTTTTTTATTTTATTAGCTATTTAAATTACTATTGGTAAGTAATAATGATAAAAGTATTAAAGTTTATATTTTCTAAAAAAGCCTTACTCTTGGTCTGACACTAGAACGTGAATACTTCTGTTCTGTTTAGTGTACTACGTACACTCCTGAAATTCTGTTTTAGAGGAATTAGTGTTCTCCTGTTTAGTGTATTTCGTACACTCCTGAAATCTTTTCAGAACACTATTACTCTCCTGTTAAGGATCGGGTCTCTTCGGTGATCTTATCCTTTCTGTTCAGCTAGCTTCTGTCAGGGATTGGTACGTGTAGCTCTGGCGATTACGTTTCCATATCCTTTCTGGGTAATGTGGGTACAGACTCGAGACTGTATTCCTTACCGTTAGTATTCCGCTGTCTAGGTCCAGTTTCTTGAGTTAAAGGCTAAGTAAATTAATTTGTCTGATTAATGATACATTTTTACAATATGAATTATATGATAATCGGATATCCGAACTTGTTCTATCTTTATATGAATAAACTGAAATGTATGTAAGTTTATCGAGTTCAGTCAGACATATTTATATGTTCGCTTGATCACATGCTAATTATGCTAGGTGTGCTATATGTTTTAATATGTTATATTTGTTATTACCGTACCACTCAATTCAACACATTGCTGAGCGGGTAGTTGTTTGTTGTTTTCCTACCCGTAGGTCAAGCTCAGGATCAACTTGAAGCATCAGGATGAAGGGAGGCATAGGTCTCATATGCATATGGTGTGTTTTGGGGTCCTTTAAAGTATGGGATCTGTATTAAAATAAACTTTATTTTGATATTTTGTAAGAACCTTCCGCTGCGGTTAAATGAATTTTGTGACGTTGACGTTATGCCTGTAAAATAAGTTTTTACTTATTTTGGGCTGGTAAGTTCCAATGGTTCAATAATAAAAGTATGTTAGTTGTAAATCTGTTAAATATGGCCTAACTTGATGAAAATTTTAAATAAGTCTGTTTCAATTCTGCCTCGTGACACACCGCTCGGGTCGGCGGGGTCGATCCGGGTGGGGTGTTAGTGTTACACCGAGTCTCAACGGCCTCAGCAAGCTCCTTAGCCTTCTTCATCTCCGCCAGGGCAAGAACACTCCTCTTCTGGACCTCCAGAGCCGCCTCCCTCTCACTTCGGAGCACCGCCACCTCGGCCCTAATTTTCTTGAGGTCAATCTGGGTGTCCTCAAGGGCTACGCGCTCCTGATCCAGCGTCCTCAGTTTTCGGGCCTCGGAGCGCATCCGATGGCCGTATTCCAGTAGGAAAGTGGAGCCCTGAAAACGGTCACATTGAGAAAAATAAGACAAAATACACAAGGATCAAAGTTCAACAACACGAGACAAGAAAAGCACAGAAGCAACTTACCCTGGCAACGTCATGCATCCCGTGCTGCCACAACGATTCATCATTAAAGCTCTTCAACTTCTCTCGATCAATAGGGAGGAGGGAACGCTTATAGGAACGCCGTGCCCTGCCAGCGTTCAACACCTGGGACATTAAATTGAAAATCTGGTGGTACAAAACAGGGGAGCGTTGGGCGGGACGTCGTTCCATATGGCGTTCCGGAGGCTGCTTCCACCGAAACACCTCTAATATCTTTGTTTCTTGCTTCCTTGTGCTCCGCTTGATCCCCAGGGTGTTCAGATCTTCCATTTGTGCTCTTGAGACTCTTCAAAATGCTCAATTTCACCCCTACAAGGCTCAAAGCCTTCATGTGGTTCCTACAACCAAAATATTGCACTAGTAAAACCAAAATGGGAGAAAAATCTTCAAAAGTTTACAAACAAAGACCATATTTTATGAGAAAGTATTAGGTGTTATCACACCTATCAAAAACATACTTCCTCCATTCTTAAATAAATGCAACGGTCAACATTTCACCTTTGCCGAGACACAACTTTGACCATTAATATATATAATTTTGTATTGGTAAAAAAATTAAAAAAAATAGATTTTGAAAATATACAATGAGACAAATTTAACAATATTTTTTTTCATAAAATAATATTAATACATTAACAAATAAAATGTAGTCAAAGTAGAACATGTGAATAGCGTAAAATTCCATATGTTGCATTTATTTAAGAACGGAGGTAGTATCTATGAATGGGAGAGTGTCTTCATTATAATTAAACAATAGCATAACATCCCGGAGTCTCTCATGTCGATAATTTGAGCAAATCAGTATAATGAGTGAAAGGGGTGGCTAGAGTTTATTTTTTCGTCCCATGCTCTCGGCCCTCGCCCGCTATTCTAATTAATATATTTAATTTGGTAATTACTATTAAGAATAACTAGATTCTTTACCCGTGTGTTGCACGGGTATGCATATGTTATATGTTTAACCATGTCTTTAGATGACAGTGAAAATCTAATGAATAGTTTAACTAACTCGTATTTACATATGTTAAAATTTTGGAATGAATTTTTCAGAGCACAAAGTTGGATAAAGTTGGGATCACTTCGTAATAATAAAAATATTTTTCATTAGATATATAAATATTTTGTTACGTATTTGTGTTTATAAAATATACTACGTAATAACAAAGGATTCATGCAATTGAGGATGCTAAAAATGTTACTGATCAATCTTTTGTAAACATCCAATAAGCAAAAACATTAATTGATAGTATAACTTTAAAAATCAAAATTTTCACATTATAATTACTAATTGCTAACTACTCCCTCTGTCCCGCTATTAACTTCCTGCTTTCCTTTTTGGGACGTCCCAAAATCATCTTCTCATTTCCCTAAATAGAAAGTTTTCCTACATCAAAACAGTGTCAAACAGTGCAAAACAGTGTCAAACAGTGCCAAACCATGTCAAACAGTGTTTAAACAGTAAAATCAAATTTAATTCCTAAAAATGTGTGAGGGTCAAAGTAAGAAGTTAAAAATGGGACGGAGGGAGTATTAATTTACACATTATTGTTTAGAGAAAATGAGTATGAAATCATTAAATATGGAAACGCAAACTACACCTTGTTATTTTATACTCCCTCCGTCCCAATATAAAAGACACATTTGCGTTTGGGGACTTTTTAAGGGTGAACACTGTTTGAACACTGTTTGGCACTGTTTAGACACTGTTTGGCACTGTTTGGCACTGTTTGACACTGTTTTGTTTGCCAAAAAGGGAAATGTGCCTTTTATATTGGGACGGACCGAAAAGGAAAGTGTGCCTTTTATATTGGGACAGAGGGAGTATTATTTTAGAAGACTATTGTTATTAATAATATAACTATTACTGTACTGCAAGACAATAACAATGATGTTTTTAATTAGACTAAAGTTTTATGATCGGGTCCGCTTAAGTTTGGTCTGATGACCTAAACTGATCTGGTCTAGTAAGTGTCGGATGTATGTATATTTTACTAACTTATTCTCATCTGATCAAGTCTATTGTATTTAAATTTGATATGATTTGGAGTAGTTTCTTTTAATCTAGTGTGGTCTAGCTTATAATTGAAAACATTTAAATCAAAATATTGTAAACATTCTGATTTTTTTTCTTTGCGTTAAGTGAAGTCCCGCCAATTATGTATCACTATTATTATATTATAATAAAAATAATTATTATTATCTATGATCATCATCATCATTATAGATTTTTTTGAATTGAAAATATTCTAATTACTCCAATATTCATGTAACTCTTATTTTTTTTTAGGGAAAATGGAAACTAATAATCCAACCTTTTAACGGTCTTCTTATAATAATCCAACCTTTTGGTTATTCATGAATAATACAATCTTTGCACCTCATCTTCATTCACTGGTCCTTGACCGGTTGATGACCTGCTATTCCAAGCTATTTTCTTATCTTTGCAAATCATTATACCATAAATCTCATCTTTCACAAAGATAATATTTTGCAAAGATAAGAAAATAACTTGGAATAGTAGGTCATTAACCGACCAGGGACCAATGAATGAAGATGAGATGCAAAGGTTGGATTATTCATGAATAATCAAAAGGTGGGACTATTGAAAGAAGACCGCTAAAAGGTTGGATTATTAGTTTCCATTTTCTCATTTTTTTATGGGCATGAAGCATTAAATGTCTAATTGGAGGGAAAAGAAAGGTGTCACACCTTGTTACTTTATATTATTATAGAACTTTTAATGGGTATGAAGCATTAAATGTCTAATTGGGGGGAAAGCAAGGTGCCATTAGATTTTTTGTGAGAAAGTATTAGGTGTGATCACACCTATCAAAAACATACTTCATCCGTTCTTAAATAAATGCAACAGTCAACATTTCACACTTGCCGAGACACAACTTTGACCATTAATATATATAATTTTGTATTAGTAAAAAAATTAAAAAATATATATTTTGAAAATTTACAATGAGACAAATTTAACAATATTCTTTTTCATAAAATAATATTAATACATTAATAAATAAATTGTAGTCAAAGTAGAACATGTGAATAGTATAAAATTCCATATGTTGCATTTATTTAAGAACGGAGGTAGTATCTATGAATGGGAGAGTGTCTTCATTATAATTAAACAATAGCATAACATCCTGGAGTCTCTCATGTCAATAATTTGAGCAGATCAGTATAATGAGTGAAAGGGGTGGCTAGAGTTTATTTTTTCGTCCCATGCTCTCGGCCCTCGCCCGCTATTCTAATTAATATATTTAATTTGTTAATTACTATTAAGAATAATAATCATTTAATAAATGTAATCGTATAATAATCTGATTAGTCTTTTTATTATAGCAATCTATTAGTTGGAAATTACAAAGCATTAATTAGAAAATAACAACGAATTAAATTAAACCAAATTATGAGAATACCATAAACGGAATAGTACGTGGACACACATACATCTAGGATAAGATTTATGACTCTCTTAATTAATATTGTTCTTACGGTAGGTACTTCAATTCTCTTCCCGAGTAGACGAACAAGTTGAGAGCCTTTTGATTCGCTACACATATAAATAGAGCATGTGTTTTAATTTGTTCTTTTCTAATTTAAATACTAAAGAAATCATAATAATTGCTTCAATTTCTGCAGATTGAAAACTCATGTTTCCTCCAACCGCAATATTTCGCTCTCTAATTGTTCTTATTCTTGCCACAGGTGATATTCGTACATTTTTCATCTTTGATTTTAATGAATTCCCTCTTTGATTTATTTATGATTAGAAAAAGTACCTCACAATCATACAAAGCTTTGAATATCAATAATACCATTTCTTCATTTTTTTGAGTACATATTGTGACTAACATTTTTAACCGTGAAAATGTGAAATGTGCAATAACTTTTCATAATCAAATAAATGTTTGTCATACAGGAATGTGGCTACAAAATCTAGTGAATTAATGCTTTCTTATTCTTACCCATTCCATAACCATTATGTATAACTGTATATAACTGGTACATCAATCATATACAGATCTTAGTTTTTTGTTTTTGTGTTTATATACAAGATTACATTCATACAATGTCATGACTCATAAACAAGTTATTGATTTTTAGAATAAATAATCTTGTTTGAGATTGATGTTTGCTTTTGTTGTATTGATGCAAAAGTCGCACTAACCTTCATTGGTTATAGGAAAAAGTTTATAAAATATCCAAATGTTAGCACATCCTTAACCATTGAGTTAAATTACTATATTAGACAAACTGAGAGATTACGTAAACCCCCTATCATTTATATATACTCCGTATTAATCAGTACATTGCAGTTCTAGGCAGAGCTACATTCATCAATATATGGTGTCAAAACCAATGAAGTATTTTTTAAGTATATATATGAAAGTAATGAAACCATATATTGTTGTGATTAGAGCAGCATGGAACGAATCAAAATAGGGTTAATTCCCTTGTGTATTCATTAGACTAAGTAAGAGTATTTATAGAAGCTAATTACAAACTATAGGGTAAGCTAATATACAAGCCCAAAATATCTACAGCCCATATACATATATTACGGTCTAATACCCCCCCTCAAGTTGGAGCATGCGGATCAAAAATGCCCAACTTGCGAAGTAAGTAGAGAAACTGTTGCTTTCCCAAAGCCTTCGTGAAAATATCGGCAAGCTGATCAGATGTACGCACGTGCCGTGCAACAAGTAAACCATCGTGAATGGCATCGCGTACATAGTGACAGTCCACCTCGATGTGCTTCGTGCGTTCATGAAAGACAGGATTGTGTGCAATATGTAGGGCCGAACGGCTATCACACATCAATGACACAGGTTGAGAGTGAAGAATACCAAGAGTCAGAAGAAGGCCCTTAACCCACTTGAGCTCAGCCGTGATTGCCGCCATGGATCGATATTCCGCTTCGGTAGATGACCGAGATACAGTTTGCTGCTTCTTTGTTTTCCAGGAGATGGGAGAATTACCAAGAAAAATTATCCAACCAGTAAGGGAACGTCGAGTCAAAGGACAGCTAGCCCAGTCCGAGTCACACCAACCATTAAGCTTAAGAGCACAGTCAGAACGAAGAAGAATACCTTGTCCCGAAGTACCTTTAAGATAACGAACCACTCGGAGAGCTGCCAACCAGTGATCCTGTCGGGGGGCCTGCATAAACTGAGACAAAATATGAATGGCATAAGCTAAGTCCGGTCTGGTAAAAGAGAGGTATAGGAGACGACCGACAAGCCGTCTGTAACGCTCAGGATCAGGCAAAAGTTCACTTTGAGAAAGAGCCAAAGCATG